TCAGTGCATATCAAAATTGTGAATAGTATGATTAATGTTAACTCCATGAAAAATAATGAAAGAGTTTACATTTACACATGTATAATGAAAAATACATAAATACACACATATAATGAAAAACTCTATGAAAAATAATGAAAGGGAGCACACATATATTTGAGGAAACAGTGTATTTTTTTCCATTCTAGATATGTATTGTTCATGATAAAAGATTTTCAAATTTATGAAAAATAAACTTCCTCAAAATAGATATCACCATTAACACTGATATGCTTTTACACCTTTTCTGGTGTAACTTTAAAAGACAGTTATGCGTGTGTGTGTGTGTGTGTGTGTGTGTGTCCTTCATTTCTATCGATATTTTAATGGATGCATGAAGAATTTTTAAGAGTAATATACACATTAACATGTGCATTTGTTTCTACCAAATGAACCAATTAAGATGGAAATTCAATTTATCTAGATTTATAAGGGTAGATTAGAATCACAAAAAAATGCTTAGTAATGTCATGGATTCTCATTAAAAAGCTGGAAATAGAAAACAGAAAAAAAACCCAAAACAAAAATCAAACAAAAAAGACCAAATAAACATCCCATGCATAAAATAATGTCTTTGCCTCAGCAAAGGATATCTTGTTTAGATGGGAACAAATAATCTAGAAGGATTAGTATGTTCCAATTAAAGGTCAAGCTGAGTAAACAGTCTTCCCTTCTTACCCAGGAGGAGACATGCATATAGACAAGGGTAAAAATCTCCCCCAGGAAGACACAGCTGCTGGTCCTCCCTAGTGCCATCTAACTGCTCAGCTGGTCCCAAGAGCCTGGGAAATGTCTGAGCTCCTCTGGGGTTCAAGGGAGGGGGCCTAACTCACTGCAGGTGGGAAAGCTGCAGGGCCAGCAGACTTCTTTGATGCAGGTCGCTCTAGGGCTTGGCACCCTTTGGGGAGTTATTTATTTGCTCTGTTATTATTTGGAATGACTTAGTGTACAGTTGGCTCTAGTTGAAAGTAAGTCAGATCAAATTTGGGTTTGACAATCACATTCTTGATCACAGAGGAGGGGTGAAAGTCAAATGCCTTTATTGTCTATGCCAGTATTAGGGTTCCCACTGACTTTAGCCTGAAGTGATTTTTAGCCTTTTTTAAATAGCGGTTTTGAATCTAGTGGTGAGGAAGTCACAGAGTTGGCCTTCTGTTATGTGATATCTGGGGATTTGAACATGTACTTCAAGGCTGTCATAAACAAATTTGGTTTGCAGAAGTAGATCAAAAGCTACTGAGCAAGAATAAGTGGGGAGATGTGGATTTCTACCAATGTTTTTGCTAAACAGATCCACATTTCCTCACTGCATGCTAAATCTGTGGGTTTCTAATGTCTCATCCAGTGATGTTCTCTTGCAAGAGGTTAAATAAGAGTTCTTAACTTCAAAGGCAGCTGAAAGAAGAAGACAAAAGAAATAAAAGTGGACTTGAAATAAGGCTTATGGAAAACATCCAAGAATATGTAGGAGAGGGTGCAAGCTCTTTGCTTGGAGAGAGGCATTTCAGACTCCAGAGAAAATTTTATTAGATAGTGATGAGGGTGACTTCCTCTAGCATGATGAACAATTGGGCCAATGTCCTTGAGTCCTTTGGTCCCTTCTACCTGTGGGAATGTTCCTTGGGAAATTTCTCTGCCTTGTTCACTTTTTTAGTCCCCTGAGCTCCAGATGCCTCTTGTGCAACAATCTCATGAAGTTGATCCAACTGTGGAGCAACCTCAAGCTTTCCTTGTTCTCTATACAAGGAGTGTTTGGAGGCAATGCCACATCAGCTGCTTCAGCAAAGAGTTTCTGCCCCAAACAGGACCGGTACAATCATGGGTGTGGGACTTGGAGTTAGATAGTTGGGTCTGTGGAGCCAGCTCTTCCCCAGGGCTGCCCACCTTCTAACCATCACTTTCATCCAGGTGTTTCCCACCCCCCAGCAGAGGATCTTGAGCACAGCAGGGTCCCTTCAGCTCAGGGCTCAGCTGCATCCTGGCTGTGAGCTGCCAGGGCTTTCTGGTTTTCTGCCTTCACTGCTGTTTTCCAGCTGTAATGCATAATGTGAAACATCTTGTTTCAATTCAGAAATAATTTAAGCTTGGCCATTTCTATTTAGGCATCTGATATCATTTTGAAGAATGAGTATTACTATCTTATCTTCTTCTGATCTCAAATCAACTCCTTCCTTGTTTGATATCCAAGTCCATACCGAGATGTACGTAAGTTCATCATTATTATCCAGGAGACTACCAGCAACAGCAATTGGACATAAGTACAGTGTAGGAGAAGGTGCAACTTGTCATCTTAGGGTAATTTTAGTGTTGCTTTAGCAATGGAGACCAGCATAAGTGTTAGAGGTTGTTTTCCTCAAACAGGAGTGCATTCCATTGCTCTTCTATCTTGGCATGAGATTGCTGATCTGGGCTCTTGGTGGCATTTAAGAAAAATCACATGTTCTCCCTGGACAATGTTCATAAACTGGTGTCTACTCATCATCATAGTGCTGAGAGATTGGAGTGTCTTTTAGATCCAAACAGAGCTTGAGACTCTGAATTGGAGGAGTAGAGAAGTATAGGGAACAATTAGGAAGTCTTTAAGGAACAAGTAATAAAATTGCTTTAACGATGTAAGTAGAGAAACTATAGGACTGGCTTATAAGATAAGTATGACTTTTACTGAAATAAAGATGAGGGAAAACCCAGTGAGGAACATCATGTGCATCTGAGTAGAATTCAATGTACGTACTAGAAAGAGTAAAGCATAGAAGTATTCATTGGTGTTTCCTAAAATTTATCTGCAGATCTCAGAATATATCCACCAGATAGAATTTAACTGGTGCTATTTCCATTTGGAAACTTGTATATGAAGCTACTTTGATTGCTAAATAATCTTTGCTTATTGACCTTTCTTATTTAAAGGAAGTCACTGTGTTGATTAAGAGGTCCAGTGCCCATGTACCTTTTCAATGAAGCTCATTGTTTCTACTGTATGGCTACCAAATTGCATCTAGTTCTTTCACTGGGCCACCTTCTGAAATGGAACACATGGGAGATGCTCAGTTAATGCTTGTTGTTGCATAGAATGGGTGTAACTTTTTACTTAGTTTTTTAATCTCTCACCCCACTCACCCTAGCTCTTCACCAACATTGGAAACATAAAATATTGCCTGGCTGCTGTAGCCAAAAATGAGGACAGGCACACTCATTCTTTGACATGCCCTCCTACACACACTCTATCCTTTGTAGAAGATATTTCCATTTTCATTGCTCAGGTGTCTTGAACCCATTCTCTTCTTATTACATGAGAATGCATCCTGCCTTCATGCTGTCATCTCTAGTTCCCTTGCTATGCTCTGGGAACCTGTGACAGAAAGCAAACATTGAGGGGCCCCTGGTGCCCTTCCACGTTGTACCTAGGAGCTACCAGGAACAATTAGGAGACTGTCCCTTACCAGCTATGTCTAGAAAGTGAAGACCTTACTTTTTTTTTTGTTTGTTTGACTCTGTGGCCCTTTTCCTTTCTGCATTCTATTCACCAACATTAGTTGTAATAGTATTTATTTTCTATACTGACAGTGTCATTCTCCTAGAACTTTACATCCAGTACTGGGGTAATGCTCTCAACAACCTTATGAGGTAAAAATATTTTTCCCCTAAAATGAGAGAACTGAATTTTAGGATGTTTAAGTAAGTTATTTAAGATCATAAGCTAATAAGGAATAGAAATGAGTTTGTAGCTCAAATACATCTAACCACGACCTCTTCAATAGCATATTCTTTCTGACTTTCCTCCCCCTATTCAGTGACAAGGGTCCAGTGAGTATTTGAAGATGTTTTGGTTCAATCCTTCTTTCTTCCCCTCAGCCAGTACCCAGGACTACACTCACACTATGTCATTTATTACTACCTCCTCACAGTCTGGGTATGCACTCTTGGGTAATGAATGCTATCATCAGACTGGATCTGTTTGCTTTCAAGTTACTGCACATTGCTTTATTCCCCATTATCTTCCAAGCATCAGTTTGCCAGGCACAGTGGTTTAACCTGCCAGTGCCAGGGAACTGGCTCAGTGGGGAGTGTGGGCAGGAGGGAGTTTAGGAGCTGCTAGGTCTGATCCTCCAGCCTCCTATCACCTGACTAAATTGTTTATTGAACTGCTGAGTTCCAGCCCTGAGGGAGGCCACAATGCTGTATTTGTTTGTGTATGAGAGTCTCTTGCTTTGATTAGCAGCTAGCTCCAGTGCAGCTGAGCATACAATAGAGACCAGAGGATGGAAAAAAATCCTGCTACAGTTTCCCATTGGAAAGCATTCACTATCAAGCCTGGACACCCAACAGTGGGACACACGGGAACAGAGGCTGGGAAAGGTTAGGCAACGGATACTCCATGCTCTGCAGCCTGGTGCAAAGGATGTCACTCCTTTGCGTAAGCGTGAAGCCTCTGTCCCTCGAAATGTCTTTGATGATTCAGGTTGGAGACTGATATTAATGGCATTTGATGAGGGGCAAAACCGGGAGGGCTGAAAAGCATGAAGAAACCCCGGGATGGCGAGAACTAGGGCAAAAGCAGTGAAAATGAAGCCACTAGCACAAAGCGCTAGTCACATAGGTAAAAAGTGACACTAGTCTGGCTGCCCAGAAGAGGTAAAATAGCTACAGCTATCATTCTATCAATGAAGCAGGGAAGTAGGAAGGTTGTTTCTTTGTAATTTAAATTTATTTTAACAGATACATAAAAGCATAAAAGTTGTTCATATTTTGGGGGTACCATATGATGTTTCAATAATGGATATATTATGCGATGTTTAAATCACATTAAACATATCTATCTTGGGCTGGGGATTTAGCTCAGTGGTTCCAGCACCTGCCTCGCCAGCGCACGGTCCCGAGTTTGATCCCCGGTACCAAAAAAGACAAAACAAACACATCTTTTAAGCATGTATTCTTTATAGATGGTGAAAACATTCAAGGCCCTTTCTTGCAGCTTTTTCTGAAATACACAGCACACTGCCATTATCTATGGACACCCTGCTGTGTAAGAACACACCAGTTTAGGAAGGGAAATTATTTTATAACAGACAAAGTTAGGGATTTCTAGACAAACTGATAGTAAAATTTTCATTCTTTTCACTGAACTAAGTCTTAAATCTACTATAAGTAGCCTCTATCTTCTGGAAGCTAAATAATGAAGTTTCTGCTTGAAAAAAAAAACACTTCCTCTATCCTATCAGGATAGTTTTAGTTGGTGAGGACTGTTAGTTCACAGAACCTTTGCTAAGACACTGTACATGTTACAACAAGACCCCATCTATTACCCCAGCCTGTAGATGCAATTATGGGCATCTCACAAGACAGACAGAGAAAATTTACAGTTAGAAACCATAGCGTATGTTTACAGGGTACAAGCACATTGTACAATCAGTTTCTAGAGATGATGGCCTTGTAGCATGGAAAAGGGAGGGTTACTGAAGGGGACAGGATTTTCAAAGATGAAGCTATGTTATAAATGGCAAAAAGGTAGGGCAAAGCTTCTCAGGCCAGGGATGAATAATGAGATGATGTCAAGCAAGACCTTGGGGAGTAGAGGACAGATTGGCCTGATTTGTGTAGAATGGCCCCAAATGGATGTTAAGAGTTAGGGATAAACGTTGGATAATAATAAGAAGACCCTTCAAGTGCAAGCTAACCTACTTGAATATTATTATGTTAGTAAGGAATCACTGAAGGTCCTTCACAAGAAAACAGAAAAAACTTGGTTAAAATTAGGGTATATGAAAGATTATGTTTAAAGTAACAAATTAGAGGTGGAAAGAATCAGGCTATGGAAAGTAATCCTCTGTGTACCACCCCTTTCCCCAAGCCCTAGATCTTTTTGAATTCTGGACATCCTGATCATGCTTCAGTGCTTTGCTTAAATATTATCTCCTCCATAAAAATTTTCTTTTTTAACTTTGTTAGAATGAATACTTACTCATTTTTCTGTTCTATAACTTCCTATGATTTTCCTTTTATAGTTTTCTATCCATCCATTCAAAACTATGTAATGAGCACAACATGCCAGGCCCTATATTGAATATCAGGAATATGGAGACAAATACGACAGTGCTTCTGTCTTTAAATCACATGGTCCAGTTGCAGGGAACAGATAGGCACATAAGAGCTAATCAGTGCAGTGCTCTAGATATGCATTTTAATAGCATGTAGGAAAGACATCTAAGCCAGAGAGGGTGGATTCAGGGCAGGCCTCTAGCAGGAAGTATCTTCCAACTTGTGTTTAAATATTGAAGACTATAAAAGAGAAAGTGTGAGCTCTAGGTCAAAGGAATGGTGTGAATTCTTACCTCGTCCTTTTCATATAACATATATTTTAAACAATCTGCTTTCTGTAGTTGTCTATGGCTTTTAGCCCAGTGGTTTGCACACTAACATTGAGTGAGTAAATGAACAAAGGAAGGACTTTCTGATGCTTGAGTATAAGTAGGTAGTTAAGAAGGATCCTTTCTGAAGAAAATAAAAGCTGTCTGGATTCTAGATGTTATAATAGAAGGTAGGTGCACATAGGATGAGTCAAAAAAGGACATATAGAAATTTAGGGGAATTCTGCTATCATGGTACTTGGTCATCCTCAATGCCTGGGACCTTGTGATGAGAAGCAGCCTCAGGCAAGTAGCACTGTCAGTCATGAACCAGCATCCACTTAATCTCCAAGTTTTCAGGCTCAATCTTTACCTTTCTCCACAAAAGCTCTTGGAACATACTTTCTGTAGAACAAGATAAAACCACTTTATTTCTGGAGGATTGTTTTTATGACTTTGTTCCTTAGTTAGGGAGTACTCAGATGCATGGACTCTCAAGAAAACTGTAATTAGGTGTAACATGCACATTTAAGATGCATGTGGGTGGCTTCAGGCCTCATCTTTCAAAAGAAGCCAGTTGGCTGAGGAGAGCCTTCTGCATTTTAAGGAACCACACTTTAGCTGGTCATTGATTCACTCAAATGGAGATGCCAGCTTTTCCTTGAAATTGCTCATTTTCCTACACTTAGATGAATGATCCACTGCCAGACATGTATAGAGTCATTACTTCTGCAGCCAGTGGAAGAGGGAGTTAGTTACTCATGAAACTCAACCCCAGAGTGACAGTAAAAGCCAGATGGTTATGGCTCAATAAATATTGATTACAACATGTGAGATAAACAAAGTGCTGGGTTCTCTCTCCAAGGCAGAAAAGGTCTCTTCTGTTCTCAGTTGAAAAGACTCCTGTCCTGGAACCATCTTTTCAAAGGCGGTGGCTTCCTTGCTGGTCTTCCTGGGACATGCAAAGCTCTTTTACTTTTCGGTATTTTTTCATTCCACTCTAGGGATTTTCCTATATGGAGAGGGCAGAATTGAGGGCAAATGGATCATTTTCATTTATCTTCCTTAAAATAATGTTTTCAGGTGTGCTAAAAGAAAAGAAAGCTCTGTAAGTCAAAATTGTCTGGTTTCCAATCCCCAATTTAATTGTGAATCAGAAGAGGCAGGAAATATCCTGCAGATAGAGATTAGACAAGATATTTTCTAAGAAAGCCATTTAGCTCAGTATATATAAATTTAATATTGTCCCACATGGAAGAGTTTAGCCAACATTTCCTGGTGCAGGTAATTTGGGGCCCAGGAGGGTACAATATTGTGATTTATCAAAGGGTTGCCTCCTTTCTTTCCTTTGACTAATCTTCAGCCAGGCTGAGTCTACTATAACATAATCAAGAAAATTTTAATTGTAAATAACCCATTTGATATATTAAAAAGAAATTCATACTCTGTTTAGTCTTTTCTTTAGTGACTTTGACAACAAAGATCCATCTAATATTTTGCTATTTGCAATTTACTTTTGTATATCTTATTTTATTCTCAAAAGAATTCCAAGAGATCAGTTTTATTGTAATTACCCTCTAGCTGAGAAAGATAAGGTTTTGAAATGGAGGGGATTCACTCAAGGTTTCTCCAAGGAGGCAAAGTGGCATTGCTTCATTCACCCATAGAATCTTTGGGTAGAACTATCATAGACTGTGGAAGTATTTTGTAAAACAAAAAAATCAAACGTTGGCATTGTGTTCTTTCTTGAGTATAGATTCAGTGGCTTAAAACTTTGCTTACACAATTTAAGAGTCTTATTTCTTAAAGAACAGTTTACTTGCATTAGAATCAATGGAGTAAATCCTCCACAAAATCCAAACTCCCTGGTGAGAGTTGAGGAATGCTAATTTTTATGTTTGTGGTTTTTTGGTACCGGGGATCGAACTCAGGACCTTGCGCTTGCAAGGCAGGCTCCGTGAATGCTAATTTTTACTACCATAGAACTTGCATGAATGGTAAAGTTTGAGAACCTGTTTTTCCTCTCTCTATAGCTCTCTCTCTGACATTTCTATCATATATCTATTAAAAATAGAGAGAGCCTACTCCATCAGTAGCAATCTCTTGATATTGTTTAAAACAGATTCTAGAGAAAGAAGCAGATTGCATCACTAACTTTGTATTTTAATTAAAGTCACTTGAACTTTTCAAGATTTCACATCTTATTTGTGAAACAAAGGCCCACATTAAAAGATCCCTTTAGTCTCTGACTCTATGTTCATGCTCTTGCCCTGGAATCTCCAATTCTTTCTTCCTTCCCTCCATACTTCCCTTCTGACTGTGTACATTAGTGGTTCTCAAAATGTGGTTCCCAGAACTGCAGCATCAGCTCTACCTAGAAGCTTACTGGAAATGTCCTTGGAGGGCACCCCAGACTCTCAGAGTAAGGCAACAATCTGTGATTTAGTAAGCCCTCCCCGTTCTACAAGATAAGAAGCTGAGAAGCTGTGAGAACCACTGATTGAAACATTCTCGATCCTGCTCAGTAAATGCAAATACGTAACTATAATTACATTTTATTTTCCCACACTTTATTCTGGCTGTGACTAAAGACCTACTCTGTGTCTCAGACCCATAAAGAGAGTTAATCTTTGTTTTTAATACATGACTTTCAAGTGTAAGAACTCAATTTCACACATGTCTAGTTTCTTCCATACATAACAATATTCAGAGATCATCTGAAGCTTGGCAGACAAATGAAGTCTCAAGTTATCAGACATCTGGATTCTGCATGACTCTAGTATATCTTCCTTGTAGTTACCACAGTTGAATTGACTAACACCAGTCCTTCAACCGTGGAGTTCAATTGTTAGTGTGTAAGGTAAAGCATTTGCCTAATGTACACAGTGCACTGCAAGCTACTAAGTCTCACATCACTCAATGAATGACCGAAGTGCTTCATAGTCAGTGACCCATTATGTCACTTCTTGTATCATCTGTCTGCAATTGATCACTGCATATCTGTTATTCACATTAGGCGTTTTACTAATAATTTCCCCTCCCACAAGGATTTAATTTTTACACTCACATTGTTGAATTACATTTGATGAGCTTCAATTTTTTTCAAAATATAGTATTTTTAAAAAGTTTCCTTCCACTGCCTGCCTCGCAAGCGCAAGGACCCGAGTTTGATCCCCGGTACCAAAAAAATAAAAAATAAAAAAATAAGATGTTTCCTTGAAAAGATTAACTTTTTTCTATCCCAAGGATTCTGAGTAAAAATGGTTAGAGCAGAAACACATGTTTATCTTATTTAAGGTTCCCGTCTATAGTAAGTAACCTGCTTTACAAGAGAATTGGGGGCTTCAGGGCCTTCATGTCGACAATTGTCAGTATGGCTTGACATCAGACAAACTGAACAAGTGCAAAGTGGGTGATTGGGTTGCCTTCTTGCCTCCTGGTGATAAACCTGCAAGACATCTTTTAAAAATGAATAATTCAAGAAGAAACTGGCTAACAAAACTGAAAGTGCAGACAAGAAATGAGGCATAATTGAATGCTAGAAATGAAATGCAAATCAAACATAAATGGACTCAGGGAAGACGTAAATGCGGGTCAGAAGGGTGGCTGTGCTGCCCTCAGAGGGATGTCCTCGTGCTGCCAAGGTGCTTAGGAGGTGCCGCTGATCCATGCAGTGTAGAAAGTGGATATGAAAGCAAGACAGACTTCTACCAAAGGGACTGAGGCTGGCAACAAAATCATCTTTTAATGGCACTCTCAGAATTATTTTAACAGCTTTATGAGAGGAAAGAGTAAAATGTTGGAAGTTAACCAAACCTGGGAGAGTGTATAATAATTTTCCAAAGCATAGAAATGGAGCCTACTCTGTACTGTGACGTGTACCTCAAGAACAAGAGAAAGCAAGCTGTCCAAACTGCTCTTGATGAAGATGTTACCAAACAAAAATCCATAAAATGCTTAAATTTCCATATTTCTAATGTTTTATACAACAGTACAGAAAATAGATTTAATTTTACTATATTTTAATTTGTAAATTTATAAGTATAGGAGATTTTTTAATGTTTGCAGAAAAACTTTAAAAGGTCACAAAACAATCATAATTTTCTCCATTAATTACTAAAGTTGGTTTTCATGATCATTTCTATGGTTTCACACTACCCTCATACATTTATCTAAATATCACTTCTGAAAAACAACTATACAATTTTTACATGTTTACAATAGGATGCAGAGGTCATCAGTTGAAAACATCCATCCATTTACCCAGCCATGAAATATTTATGGAATACCCACATACTATTTTAAGCCCTGACAACACGGGATAAAAACACAAAGGGCTCCTGCTTTCATTCTCAGTATATGAAAAGCAAATAAGTAGACACAATTTCAGTTAGTAGTGGGTTATAAAGAATAAGGTAATGAGGTTGAGAGTGGCTGTGTGGGAAGGAGTCTGGGTTAGGAAGGAGGTATCAGGAGACCTCTGAGCTTCAAGCAAGGCTGCTTCTACTCCTAGGACAGGAAGAAACCATTCTTAAATCTATATCATACAGGGCGGGGGATTTAGCTCAGTGGCACCCTGCCTGCCTCAAAAGTGCAAGGTCCTAAGTTCGAGCCCTGGTACTAAAAAACAAAACAAAACTATGTCATACAATTTCAGTGACAAAGTCCAAATTTCTTATTTTGAACTTGCAATACAGTATATTTATGAAAATTAAATAAATATTATGGAAATTAAAAATATTGTTTTTTTCTTAGTCACTAATGGATAGCCTTTTTTTTTTGTACCGGGGATCCAACTCAGGACCTTGCACTTGCGAGGCCAACACCAGAACCACTCAGCTAAATTCCCAGCTGGATAGCCTTTTTTAAGTAAAACAAATAAAAAACGCTAATTATTTTAGGGCTGATAACTTTTTCTTTCATAATTTAAACATTAAACAGTATTTTATTTTTGCTGTTGACATATTTTAAAGTTTGGAGTCATGCATTTGAATTCCAAAGGGTGTAGTCATAGCTCAATTAAGAAATGAGTATTAAATAGTGTTGGAACAAGAAGAAATTATGTTCTACTGTTGACTAAAAAAAAATAAAAGTCTCAAACTTTTGACACTACCAAGCAAAAATAGCAGTTAGAGAAATTATAAATACATATGTAGAATGTCTTTTAGCACTAATCATCTAAGAACTGGAAATTGATAGTGGTTAAACTGTCAGTTACAGCAGAAATCCTGCTATTAACTAGTTTTGTAATTACTATGTAGGTATGATTACAGGCAATTGAGTTACGTGATGAGATACAAATTGTGAACTGTAAGAAAGAGAAATCTATGTAAAAGTACTGAGTTAAAAATCATTTTAAAACCAAAGTGAAATCCAAGTCATATTTGGTTTAAAGGGTTTTATTCTTACAAAGGAAACAGCTTTTTGATTGCTAGCCAACTTGCAAGCAGGTATAAAGCTTAGCCGTAAGCAAGTTTGATAAATGGCATTAACCTCAGAGCTCCCCGGAGGGAGAGAGTATGACCTCGAAGCTTCTTTAGTTGTTTAGCTGTGCCTGTGTTACATAATTTGATAGCACTTGAAGCATGAAAACAACATCAGCTATGGCAAGGGAGTCCTAACAGCTGGTGGGTCATTTCCTTAACTGTCTACTAGCCTGGGTACTTTGAATGGCACAACTGTGGGCACAAGGTACATTGCAGAATGCTTATTATAGAGCCACCCCACATGTGGTCCAGGGAAGAGCTCACGTTGAGTGTGTGAAAAATAAAATCATAAGTTATAACCTAGATCAACCCCAGCTTGCTCTGCAAGAAGAATAATTGCCACATCCAGAGATGTGAAGAGGAATAACAAGGAGTCCTATGGGGTAGATTGACAATGAGCTGCAGGACCAGAGAAGGCAGAGGGCTGGTTTATGTAAGGCAACTTCAGGTAGGATTGAAATTCATTTGAAAAATGAATGTCAAAAAATCAAGCACAAGTGTATAATATGAGCTTGAAGAAAAAAAAAGCCCACAGTGCCATACATGTTTGTTTATTTTTCTCTATTCAATGTCCAAAGTCATATTAAATTCTCTACAATACTCCTGAATCCTGCCTTGGTTCTTTTCTATTATCTAAATTCCTTTCAGGGGTTTTTTTTTTCTTCCCTCTTTATCTCTCTCAGCAATTGCTTTAAGTTTGACACAGAGGGAAATTATTCTTAATCTCTAAGAAATACAATTCATTATGTACTATTCACATAAGGCCAGATATTAAAGTCTGAGAGAAAGACAGCAGTGCTAAATTTCCTAGGTGTGAAAGGATCTAGTTAGAGCTGCAGTATGGCAGATCAGACAGTTGGATTGTAGTCTTCATTTGTGAAGTGTTCTGCTTTGCAGAAAGATTTTACAGCCCCTACTGTGGCTCTTACTCTACCAGATAAGTGAGGAGTGAGTCTGAGCATTGCTGGAAAGGGTGCATGTGAGTGTGGGGGTAAATTACAGTGAAAGATAAGCAGAAAAAGAAAAGAAAAGCTGATTCTACTCCCTCAAGGAATAAAATAATAATAATAAAATTGAAGTTGCCCAGCAGTTGTTTAAACATGAATGTGTATATCTGTATATCTTCAAAATTAACAGGCATGTATTGAGCACATATAAATTGTGCTAGGGAATGTGCAGCTGGAAAGAGGGAGATACTTGCTAATTTTTCAGACAGCACAGGAGCACGGAGGTGTGGACTCTGAGAGGAGTGTTCTAGAGGGGTGTGTGGAGGAGGGCCATAGTTGGAGGGTCGACAAGGAAAAGGGGCCTAGACCACTATGGTTCCTTTGACCCCTGGACATCAGACTGCAAGCTACTTAAATACCATCCTAAAGGTGAAAAGCAGTGAAGTCCAGGAGTCCTAGCAAAGCTGCCTGAAGCCAGAGAACAGGCAGAGGTCCTGGCTCATCCCAGCAAAAGAACACCAGTCTTGTGCAATGTCCCTGAGACCCCAGGACTGGGCAGCTTGATCTTAACCCCATCTGCACAGGTTTGAATACCCCCTGTGGGCACTGAAAATCTGAGAGTCAGTTGCATTCTGATATAATGGAAAGCAAAGCCCCAGGGGAGAAATTTTGGGTTTTCCATTTCAATGACTACAGAGCAAATGGAACAGCCAAGAAAAAGAACTGAGGTGAATGAGGAAGGACTTCGGTCTTGGAAAAATGACAGAGAGGCTTGCTTTCAGCCCCACGGAGCCTCTTAATTGAATGTCAAGTTTTAGGAAATATAAGTAAGAACTCTCAGTTATGGGTAACAAAGTGATGTCCCTTTTGGAGACTTCAGCTTCCTGAGATCAAATGGAAGGGAGGAAAGGGTTACTTTGTAATACTTAACTTTTTTGAGGCAGAAACTCTGGTAAATGCCTTATGTGTGTGACTTAATCCTTACAAATTTTTTTAATGTGTGGAAATTAATCAATCCCATTTTATACCTGAGGAAATTGAGGCTGAAAGGTATCAAGGAAACTGCACAAGGTTGACAAATAAACACTTTGGCAATCAGGTGTTTCTATCACTTCTAGAAATCAAGTAGTCTGTGGTTATGCAAAATCAGTAGAAAGGACTTAGATATGGGGTCAAACTGATAGAAAAATAGATAGTAGATAGATAAATCAGATTACAATGACGCGAAAGGGGAGACACAGGACATCATTTACTAAAAAGCTAGAGATCAAATAAGGAAAATAAGGAAACCTGGGAACCCATAAGAGGCAGTTAATTCTATTTAGGGGGTGCTATGTTTACTGCTTTCTTATGGCTTATGTCACTCGAAACTTTACTGTTCTATTTTACAGAGAAGGAAACAAGTTCTACAGGTTAAGTAGATTTCAGCCAGTAGTTAGCAAAGGCTAGATTTGAACTCAGGTTGTCTGTCTCCAAAGCTCAGTCATTTATAATGTCAAGGCTGGTGAGGGCAAACACCTAAGAGATGGATGAGGGCTCACACCATTCAGAAAAATCCTGGAGATTAGCACAGTTTATTAGTCTGGTGTCTGGGAATACAGAGTTAAATGAAACCTAGAGCCTACCATTTGTTGCTTTAAAATTACATACAATAAGCTAAAAACATGTATTTTTAAAAAGTTGCTATCTGAGCCAGGCATGATGATGCATACCTATACACCAAGCACACTGAGAAGCTATGACAGGAGGATTGAAAATTCAAGCCCAGTCTGGACATCAGCAATTTAGCGAGACTCCGTCTCAAAGTAAAATCTAAAAAAGTACTGGGGATATAGCTCTCAATTGGAAAAAGCCCTATGTTCAATCCCAGTACTGCCTTTTTAGAAAGTTAATATCTAATGTGGAGACCGAGACAATAAAATAGTATATGAAAGAATCTGTAGGGTTCTACCCAACTTTGCTATTCCTTGAGGTCTCTGAAATTGCTGACTTCCTATCAGAGCCAACAGGGAAAGGAGAAGTTGCAGAAATCCTCTATACATCTCAAAGCTTGCTCTCTGGGGGGTTATCTGCCACCAGATGACTTGTATCTAGTGAGGAAAGCCCATATGCATTTCATCTAGGAAGACTAAATACTGCGGCCTACCTGGCATCTGCTGCTCTACCCAGTGCTCTGGGACTCTTGCTCACAGGTGTGCTACTCATACGCCCTGGATCAGTCAGTGTCTTCTTCCTGCAAGATTATAATTTATTTGAGGGAAAGGTTATGGCTTTCCCCCCAGTATAGGACAGCACTTTTTCAGACAACATTTTTAATTTACAGATTGAGTTTCCTGTGTATAATTGCCTTTACTATATCTAAGTAAGGCATTCTTTCAAGAACATCCCATGAAATTCAGAAACAGAAGATAAAGACCTGGTTACCTGTTAAAGCATTTATTGATGTTGAACTGGAATATTTTCAGGTTCCTAAGATGAAAAGGGAGTGAGTAAAGTTCAGAATCTATAGGCTTTCTCAAAGATGGGACCCCAGGTATGTGGGCAGGGATTTGAGGTACAGGGCTTGTCCCTTCGGGGACCTCTGGGATTCCTCCTCCACTCTGATCCCCAGGCTCACATCCACAGCTAGGCTGGAAGATGTCAAGAAGAAATTATGACTCTGGCAGCGCTTGGACATATATGACATTCTTGCTATTCCAATTTAACCCTCACAAGTCCCCTGGGAAGAAACCTAAAAAATCATATTCTGATTCCTGAGCTGAGACCAAAGGGTGGAAAGACGAATGTCTGGCAGCAAGAGGGTAAGAGAGGAGGAGAGCAAGCAGAGGCAGGATATGCACCCCCACTGCCTGCTCTCCACATGCCCTTGGGCCCCTGCTGCTGATGGAGGCTGACAGCCTGAGAGACGGAGCCACTGACAGCCTCAGAGCAGGAACAGCACAGGGCAGGTGATGCCTGTGCCTTCTGGGTAGGATTACTGTGCAGGTGTGGGGGGTGGGGGTGGGGTGGGGACAGAGAGAAGAGAGAGAGGGGAGACAACCAACCTGAGAAGAACTGCACGTCCAGAGAGGCTGGGCTTGGGGACAAACAAAGCAGCTAATTGTGAGCAGTTCCGCTCAGGGGCCTGGGAAACTCGAGCACAGAGGGGTGCCTGTGACCCAGTTGGCACCGGCGGGGCTGGCCTTGCATATTTCAACACCTTAGATGGTCAAACACCTGGGCTCACTCAAGAGTGCAGTGGTGTTCTTAGAGATTTAAGACGTTCACCAGGTCTGCAGCTGGCTAGTTTGCAGCAAATGTAAGGGTTCAGGAGCCTGGTCTGCAACCCGATGCTCCCCAGGAGGGCTTTGGTCTCCTCTTCCGTGGTTGTAGAAAAGTCTGGCCATTTTCTATTACAAAGAAAGCACTCTTTGCTCTCATTGGGGGCTGGTTGTTCCTGGGGCTTCCCACCTGGGTCATTTCTAAGGCAGCCCCTCCTGTTGGAAAGACAGGAAGCACTTGCTATTAATGAAAGGTGGGTGACCTTAGCCTGGTTTTGGAAAATTCTTTCCCATTGTGTCACTTTACAAATATGATCACAGAAAATTCTTCAATGTGAATTTCTCAGGAACATTTGGTTGTCCTCTGCTGGGATTTTTTAATGAGATGGATTCCCTTAATACAGAGAATGGGCTCAAAATGGAGATTCCAGGGTAGAAACTGAAGCAAGGGGCCCATCTCCCTCCATGTTTACACAGCAAAGCAGGGCAGACTGAGCTGAACTGAGGCAGTATGAGTTCAGAACCCTAAGTGTTCATTCTCAGGAGACTCCAGCTTATTTTTATTTGTTTTATATATTAAAGTTTTACAGTGCCATTTTATTTGAGGGAAGTTTTGCTACTTAAATAAAAGTGAGGCTACCAGTCTAGTACATTATTTTGTTTACATGCAGATGCAGAAACAGGAGTAGAGCTAAAATGACAGAAGGGCATAACTAGGTCTTTCCAACATATGGTGTTGCTTCCCATAATCTACAGAACTTGGATGCATGATATCATGAACTAATCTCTCTGCTCCAGATCATCCCTGCTCCTCTCTACCTTTTGAGTCTGTGGTAAGACACTGCAGACTATATTCCTCTTGTATCAGTTGGCTCCAAAGTTGGCTGTCAATAAGGGGATCTAGAGGGAAACTCAAAGGGACTCCGTGGTCTAAGACCCTGGTTTTTATCTAAATCCAGCTAAATCTGCCCTTTCCGAGTGTTAGGAACTTTCTTTTCCAAAAACTGTCCTAATCGTCACATGAGAGAATTGGTGAAGCATGAGATCAATTTAGCATGTAGTTCTGTAACAAACACAGTTAAATATTGTGCTTAATTTTCAACAGTCTCAGCCCAAGTGCTACAAGGAATAAAATTCTTTTAGGGCTGCCACCTAAACTCTTTTCTATGATGTTCCAGAGGAATTTAGCAGAGAGCTTGTTCTTCATGCTGTAAGTGCTTGCTCCAGGGTATTTAAAAGCCACAGTGCACTTCACAGTCCTCAGTTACCTTTACTTCTGTGACGGTCAAGGTCAGTTTCTTTCTGACTGTGCTGGGCTCATGCACTTTCATCAGCAGGCCTTTATCACAGTTAAGCATGGGTGTTCCTCGGTTTAGCAATAATGTCACTTTATTGCATAATCAACCATTAGCATCCTATTTTCCAGTGGTAAGGAGCCCATCCCTGTGTTCAAGTCTAATGATACCACTGAGCCAATCCTTGACTCCTAGCTTTGGGGTCTGATTCCTGACCTCATTTATCAACCAAGAAGTAAACAATTTCAATCATTTTAAAAGAAAAGATAAACACAGATAAGCTAATAATGCATGAAATTATCAATTAAGCAGCTGAAAACACTGAGGAGTTATAAAGTATCAAAAGGTAGCATAGAGATAGCTAGGTATGGACATGAGGGATAACTTAAAAATAATCATGAAGTATACTGTACATCTGTGTATATAATTTCCCCGATTCCTATGACTGTCTATCCTCCCTAGGCAGAGTCTGTGCCTACAGCTCTTTTCCGTTCAGAATGTATACATTGAGTTGGGCTATAAATAATTTTATACATGACTTTCTTATGTTAACTATGGGAACCTCATCGATAACCCCTGTTCACTCCTGGCAGATATACAGCATATTCACATCCCCAAACATGGCATGAAGTAGCATAATACGGAAAAGAATAATGAGCCATGGTACCGCCGAAATGGCTTTAGTTAATGGAGGACTTAATGCACTTTCAGGGCTAGAAAGCCTGTCTTGGAATTGTGTCATGTAATGCACTGGGCAGTCTTCTGAAAACTTTGGCTCTGGTTTGTAGCTCAAATTTGAGCCTCAATGCCTCTAAAATAAGAATTTTCTTCAGCTATTCTAGTGGGATTTTCCACTCCTGTTGGTGATCCAGCAGCTGAATAATAGAAAATATAAGAAAATGAAATAACAAATGAATTAAAATAAAATAAATGATTATTTTAAAATTTCCAAATGTGATTTCCTGGCTTCTGCTCATATAATCCAGCAGCTGATTTAAAAGGCTGAATAATAAAACTACCTCTGGCCCAGTCCATGGTGATCCTCCAACCCTGAGGAGATGTTCTGCTCCAGAGAGTATAGCTCTTGTGGGCTCTTGAGTGGGTTAAGTAAAGCTTTTCAATCCAATAGATAGAACATCTGTAGTACATTAGATTTTATAACCTTTCCAGAGATAGAGAGAATCTTGCTTTAAAACTTGGTGAATTGTTACACATGTGTGAGTTAAAATTTAAAAAGTTAGAATTTATTTCATCCTTTGTCATTTATGAAAGATTTGCATGAGAGCAGAATTTGGTAATAAGGGCAAGAATGAATACAAGTCAATATTTTAAAATTGAAAACAGCAAAATCCCCTCTGGCTAGTTTAAGCCTTGAGAAATTGATTAAGGAGTAGCGATAGTTCCCACAATTATTGAGAGAGCTCAAGAAATAGATTCTATGCTGAGCTTCTGCAATGGCTCCTAAGAACACACTGCAGAGCTGGATCTCACAAGGGTTGCTGACTTTGCCATGGTCAGAAAGTTTAGACTCAGGAAATTGTTACCAGAGCTGTTGCTACGTTATTTCTATCATGAGTGGGGAGTAAGAGACCCCTGGCTGAGTCTCAGGGCCACAGACACACTGCTCTTTCCAGACTGAGTCATCAGCTGCAGACCTCAGCTACACACCAAGCACCGCACATCTTGCTTTTGTCTCCTTGTGACTGTTCCCCACATCTCTTGTGAATACATCTAACTGGCAATTTCCTAAATCACCTCCAAAATTATTATAAAAGTGGTTGGAAAATAGAGTTGTTTACTTTTTTTGTGTGTGTGCCGGGATTGAACTCAGGACCTTGCACTTGCCAGGCAGCTGCGGTGCCACTGAGCTAAATCCCGGCCCTGTTTACATTTTTTTTTTTCTTTCTATATTCTCCTTGCTGGAAGAGAGTTGGAGTGACTGAGCAAGCCAGTGCATGATGTAGACTTGGAAATGAGGATGTTGGATAGATGGCCCTCAAAAGAGTCTCTGTGGAGACATACACAGGGAGTGAGGGCAAATAGGTGGACAGGAATCCTGCAAATTGGGTGAGGCATGGGGGAACCAGAAGGTAGGAAGGAAAAGAAGTCACTAAAACACATTAGTGAAGCATCTACAAGTTCTTTGCAATAATATCACATTATACATATCACTTAACAAATTGTGGGAAATATCAATTAACTATCATAGCACAAAATTATTTTTCATTTTTTATTATGGTGAATCATTTTTCATTAATTATCACAACAATCCTGTGTCATAGGTAAACTGTTGAGTTTAGATTGGTTTCAATGCCAACTAATTCCTTCACTTCCAATTCATATGTTTTAAACATTTGTTTGATAGCAGGGAGAATTTACTAGTTTTATTCTTTAGCATAGTTTTTTGTCTTCCCTTGAGCTGTTGGAAATCTCTGCAGTGGTCCATACTTTCATTCTATATATGGGAGGGATGGGGAACTGGTTAAAAAATTAAATAGCAACAATTCTCCAAAAAGTAGGCATTTAACAGAATTTGAAGGTTGAGATAAAAAAATGAAAATGTGGCTCGGAAACAGCAATGATTCCAATTAAGCATCAACTCAAGGAAGCAAAGGGGCAGAATAAACTACCTTGACAAAAGCATTTTCTACTTCTCCTGTTAATAGATTTCCTCTGCCACTGTCCCTTCCTTGTCTCTTTATCCTCTTTGTCATAGGGAAAAAAGCAAGGGAAGCAATTTTGAACAAAATTCTAAGAAATGTGCACCCTAGAGACTCCCAAAATAGGAAGAGATGGATTTGTTGGGCTGCTTCATGGCTGCACATCTGAATTTCTATACATTTTCACTGGAAAATGATTACAGATGTATGATTTTAAAATTTGTCTTTGCAATTGATTACAAAAACACAATAATTAGTATCCCAGTCTTTAAACAGGGAAACACCATGATTTTCTTGTATTGACAAAGTCTGGTAGGTTTTATAGATAATGTGCTTCAAAAGCCACCCTATCTTAAACCCTGTCTACCT